AAATAAAAAAAGATTTAGGGGATTTTGTTTTCAAGCAAAGCAACAATCTAAAAAGGTCTACATGTTTACAAATAGTCCCATTTTAATGAGATCATTATAAAAATGCATCCATCCATTTTTTAGCACATTATAAGTATCATTTCTATACACTTATTCAAAATCCAGGTTGCAGGGGGAGCTGATTCTTACTTAAGCCGCAATTTTTTAATGTGTTTATTGGTCAGTAAATTTGACCATGTGAATGATCAACTTTACTGCAAGATGGAGAATCTGTGGGGTGCTTAGTGTTGGAAAGTATTTGCATATAGATGTCATCTACACCTAAGGTGCTGAAGTTTAGAAAGGACAAAGTAACAGTCGAGTCATGGATTGCTCACCAACACTATGTTGACTTTTCTCATGTCAAACATGAGTACCATCAATTTCTGCCCTCTGGGGAGGCCGGTGGAAGCGTCAGAACAAATACTCCTTAACAACAGACAAATGCAAACGGGGAGTGATCAACTTTTGTGATTACCCTTCGCCCAGCCCCTCAGGTCCTATGAGACGTTGGGTTTTGGCTTAACTATAGAAATAAAAACAAAAAGTGGTGATAAATGGTCATACGGAAGGAAAAGGCACAAAATTGTGAATCCTTTAGGGAAGATACCATGGTCCCAAATGATTACAAATCAATGAAGCATTCAGTGTCTCCTTTCTCAGATGGAAAAGCCATCATCTTATCTTTTTTTTAACAGGACGTTTTCAAGAACTTCCTATGTGCCTCTATGCTTACTTTATATACACACACTATGTTTAACCCATATCAAGACTGCTACTGTCATCTCTGTCATCGTGGGAATGTATAATGCACTGGTGAAGGGTGCTGTCTTCTCTGGTCTTGTTAGTTTGTTATATGCTTCTTATTAGCTTCCATGCACAGACAGCAGAGCTACATGGGATATGGAACTTAGGAGGAACTGATTTCTATTTTTTGACATAAAGACAATACTCAACAGGAGCGACAGAATGAGAATCAACAACGTAATGAGACCACGGAGTCAGGGTATTGAGAAGGAGGATGAAAAAGAAAAATCTCCAAACTGAGTTCTGATTTCTATTCTTTTAAAATATCAGTGTTAGAAGTGGAATACAAACAATAAGAAAAAAAAATATCTCTCAATATGTACATTAAAAAACGAACCAGCAACAAATATCTGAAATGAAACAATAATTCTTCTGCTATAAAACTTCAGTGTCTATCCATCTCAATACAGTTTGTTCAGCAGTCTCTCCCTCTTTGGCAGGAGTCTGGGGTGTCCTTCCATTGATTCCCAGACACAGCCACAAACAGTGAGAGGACCCAATTACCTGGACTAGATACATCTCCAGCAAGGGGGCTGCTCAAAAGCTCTGGTGTTTGGCAACGAAATTGACTTGCCTCAGCAGACAGCAGTTCCAGTAGTCAGTCAACTGGATCAAATCAACTCAAAAATTGTCCACAAGATTTCTTTTTCCAAATATTCATTCAGCTCGAGCTCTCACAGCTGGTCATGGACATCTAAAATTCAGTTGCATGAGATTTTTCCCTTTCTTCTTTTTATGCACGCAATCTGTTTTCCTTCTTAGTCAAGCTTCATCCCTGTTTCATAAAGATTACGCAATATGAATTACTGCTTAGAGTTAAGAAGATTATTTGGTTAGTCTTAGAAATCAAGACATCCGTTTAAGATAATGGTCTGGATTCACATGTATTCAAACTATAGTCAGTTTGTAGCACAACTTTTTGCCTTGGAATTAACATCACAAATTCCCAAAATAAAACCACTAAGCTGGGCTAGAAGTTTTGATTAAAAATTAATGAAGGGACGTTTAACAATACACATCTTAACGTGGGTATTTGAAATCAAAATGGCAAAGTTTCTTAAAATATTGGATGGAGTCAGACAGGCAGCCAGAGGAACAGTGGGAAAAATCTGAATTAAAATGCTGTCGTGTTTGTTTCCTGCAGAAACCTAAATCTGAGTCCTCTTAAGGAATTCATTTTAAGGATGTACATCTGGATGACAGTATGCATGGCTTTCCCGCTGCTGTCTCTGGGCTTCTGTTCACATGATTTAATTACTATTTCGTGCTATGCCCAAATTCTTGATTCATGGGTACGTCCAGTGCATGCTTTGCATTATATATATGTTTAAACATTAATGCATTTAGCAGATTACATACTATATTATGTTTTCCAATGCTCAACAATTTTCCACTTCAATAAACTGTAGTAAGATCATAAAGTCTGGCAAATACCCAACAGATGGATGCCTAATAAAGATCCTAAGCTATTTTTTTCTCAGTTTTCTCTTTTCTTCTTTGTTGAATCTAAGGAAGTTCAGATTGAGGACTTCACTATAATCACACTGAATCACTTTTTTATTAACAATAAAAAAAAGATATGATGACAGACAATATCATGAATGCTATGGCACTATTATGATCTGCTTCTCCTGGCTTTTGGTAACCACAGATGCATTTCTTCTTTTATATGACAGTTACCAATGACTCCTGAAAATGTTTCTATTTAAATCAAGACAAAACTTGATTTTATAGATTGTTTCTTCTGGACAGCATACAAAGAAAATAGTATACAACATTTAAAGTGTGCATCAGCCAAGGAAAATGCTCAAAATAGAAAAAAAAAAAGTTAATTAACTATTTCCTTCTTCCAAATTGAATTAGTCTCCTCAGTGCAATGTTTTTTTTTCTTCCATTTAGCCTTTCATCATTGTTAATTTTTTTCCACGTGATTGTAGATTTTAATTAGGTGTGTGTACAGGGAGTAACTTTTGCATACATGCTTTGATCATAAGCAATCACAACACATGCACACATTAATTTTTCATTTTCAGACTATTAACTATTCAAAACCTGCTCTGTTGTTGTTGACACATCTTGGCTGACTCTCATACTGAAAAGTTAAAAGGTCTCCTTATAGGAGCACATGCAATCCGCTCCAGCTGTTGATGGCATAATGAATAAGTAAAGCTCCACAATGTGTGCACTAATGCCCCTGTTGCACCGCTCAACGAAAGGACAAAAACTTGCAGTTAATTATAAATGACTTAACTTAACTAATGTCTACTTCAAAGGGATAAAGAGAAGGTCGGGATAGGGTTAGGATTAGGGTTATAGACAGTAAGTAAAGAAATAAAACAATGTAACCTGATTTGTCCTTCAAACAGTACTTTCTAAAAGACCCCTGTAAGAAAACCAATAAAATCATCTCAGCTAATTGGTTGCTGAGCTCATATAAAATCTTTTGATCTATCCCATCAAACTCTTCAAGCACTGTGCGAGCATCAGAGTCTATTACTGACATGTGCTGTGCATATTGTGTCACCGTTGCACAAGTTTGATGTCTGCTCCACTGCCTAAGACAGTATTATACAAGTTGAAAAACTATACTAGGCAATGCATGGGTAAAGATGGCTCTAATGATGGGAATCTAAAGCCAAGTGTATGTTTAACTATTCTAATTTGGGGATTCTGAGGATTATTACAAATAGATTTCAAAGAAATGCAATGTAAAGAAGCAAAGAGCCAGAAGGATCATGTCATGGGAAAGGAATAAACATCACATTGGATTTTAGTGTTGGAAAGCGCTCAGTGGAAAAAGAGAATGGCAGACAGATGTAATGAGCATTGTTTCTGCAACTGTGCCGCTGCCATAATTAGCTCTCTTGTTCTGTGGCATTTGCTTGGATTGGTTCCATTGGTAAAGTTGCATATGCAAAGTTTAAATTCCGCCCTGGTCTTTTCCCCCTCTGCTCGGGATGTAAATTAGACAAGACTGAAAGAGTTGATTCTCCCAGTGAAATGTGTGTAGACTTTCTTTTTCTCATCATGTCATGAAATATAAATCACTCACATTTCACTTTAGGGTTTTGTAACATTACCGTGCTTTGTCTCTCAACATATTTGCTATCTTTTTGTTATCAAAAGCAAAAAAAATAAAACTAAATAATGCCAAATACTGCTCTGAAGATTGGATAAGGAGAATGTAGATTTTAATAAGTTAAAACTGACAAATCTAATTAGAAAAGAAAGTATAATAATGTGAGAGCAGCATTCAATAAAAGATTGAAAGGAGCAGGTATTCAGAGGAGTTTAGAGAGCAGATTTGTAAGAGAATAAAAAGTAAATAAAAGGTTTTAAAACAAGCAAGACAAATCTGACTTGATTGTTCCAAAAAAGAGACAGATTCAGTGCTTCCAAGTATAATTTAAACTAAGATAAAGGAACAACAGCACGGAAGACAATCATGTTGCAGTTGTGTGAGCCAAAAAGAAAAACCTCACTTTGTCTTTTTGTCCAACTATGATATATCTGGGTCACGATTCCCATGGTGAAGGAAGTTCTAAGGAATTATGGCTCCTCATTTATCCACTCAAAGACTGAATTCACATGAGGGATGGCCCCAGTTGTGCTGTTTCTCTTCTCTTGCCTTCCAGCAACAGACTTCATTTGTTCCAAGAGGCCATAGATTATCAACATAGAATAAAACAAAGTCATCCCAGTATGATTGCAACGGAAGTGCACCTGAACAAAACGACAGTAGAGGAGAGTGTCAGCATTCCTTCACCCCCTCTTTATTATTTATCTTGGACTGGTTCAAATGTATAAATATGTGTGAAGTTTCTGAAGATTCTGTCACTTGATCCCCAATTCACCATCCTTTGTGAATGTTCCCTTGGGACGTGATTATTCTCAGGAGCTGTATACAGTGACAGCCACTGTGCGTTTCAAATACCATTTCGTATACAGTACCGTACCATATGGACCCTGTTTAAAATGCTAATATATAGGACAGCATCCTTCAGGTTGAAGATCAGGGAACCTACCAGTTTGTTGATGATTCCAGCACACAGCTGGCCAAAGTCACTTTGATTAAACATCAACCACTTGACGAAGTTAAACACTTTGAAACTAGACATTCTTTTTAAAGGGCTCGAGTAAGGTGTTAGTTTTACCTGGTCCAGAACAAAAGGCAGCAATCACAGCCAGTATACAGATGTAACTGAGGTATGGCATCCACGACACATGATCCTAGAATGACACAAGTAAACAGCTCAAATGAGAGGGACATAAGCCCTGTGGAGGCTCTGCTGGATTGCTTATGAATGATGTGGTGAATAATACAGGCACTCGGTTTTCAGAGTATCACAGTGACAGAAAAACAGTATCAAATGTAACATGAAAAAAAGGAAGAATGGTTCACCTGGAAATTCAGGAAAACTGTGAGCAGGCTGAAGAACACGGCCATGGAAGAGAAGCCAAATATGAGAAGGGGCCTCCTGCCTATGCGCTCTATTACCAGGCCCTGTACAGGGAACAAAAAGGATTTCATACTGAGCATTCTAGAATATTAAACATCTTAAACAATGTCAAAGTCTGCACATTTTTCAGAAACCATGGGATAACTGGGTTCCGTCAAGGTGTTGAATGTGTCCGTCTTGGTGGCCTTAGGATTGCAGCTCTGATTCTCACAGATAATGTGGTCCTATTAGCATGATCTAAAGTCGTGATCTACAACTGGAGTGGTTTGCATCCCAGGTGAAGCAGCTGAGAAGTGAATCAGTGTCTCCAAATCCCAGACCATGGTCTCTCACCGGAAAGGGTTGAGTGCTTACTCTGGGTCAGGGGGGATATCTTTCCCCCAGTGGGGGAGTTCAAATATCTCGGGGTCTTGTTCACGAATGGGGGTAGGGAGTGGGAAATCGACAGGCGGATCAGTGCGGTGTCTCCAGTAATAGGGGCGCATTACCAGTCTGTGGTGAGGAAGAGAGAGCTGAGCTTAAAAGCAAAGCTCTTGATTTATCGGTCGATCTATGTTCCTACCCTTATCTATGGTCCTGAACTTTGGGTAGTGACCGAAAGAACGAGATTGTGGATGTAAGCAGCCGAAATGGGTTTCCTCTGCAGGGTGGCTGGTCTCTCCCTTAGAGATAGGGTGAGAGGCTCAGCTATCCAGGAGGGGCTCGGAGTAGAACCGCTGCTCCTCCACGTTGGGAGGAGCCTGTTGAGGTGGCTCGGGCATCTTATTAGGATGCCTCCTGGTCGCCTCCCTGGTGAGGTGTTCCGGGCACGTCCTACCAGGAGGAGGCCCAGAGGAAGACCCAGGACATGCTGGAGGGACTATGTCTCTCGGCTGGCCTGGCAATGCCTTGGGATCCCCCCTGGAGGAGCTGGCAGAAGTGACAGGGAAGAAGGAAGTCTGGGTTTCCTTTCTTCGGCTGCTGCCCCCGTGACCCGACCCCGGATAAGCAGTGGCCAATGGATGGATGTGCTTCTTACTCCTGTTACTTCAGGTTGAAATGCTTTACAATTCAACTCTGGACATTGCTCATCAATAATTTGGTAGCCACCGAGGTGCTTTGGAATACAGAGGAACCACTGGGCATGAGATTTAGGCCTTTAACAAGCACAAGCTGCAGCTTCTGGCCTTATTCCCCGATGGTAGCTTCTAAGACTTAAAAGTATTCATTGGATCCCCTTAACAGGGGAGATATCATGAGATTGTGAAAAGAGGTCTCTGGTGTTTGTACAGCATGTGTTCTTGCACTGGGGTACTTCTAGGTAAAGATGGGATCTGGTTATTGAGTCATACCCCAACCAAACAAAGCCTTATCTATATAGTTTTTATTATTTATTTCTTTTAAGCACCTTCCTGTTGGCTTACCTCTGTGTGACCTTTAGATTTTGAGAGCTAAAAAGCTGTAGAATGTATTCAGTATGGCCATCTAAGTATGTATAGAGTGCAGACACAATCCTTACGGTCAGGACGCATTTCTCTCCCAAACACTACAAAATCTGCAGCCTCACACAGGCATATTCAGAGACAAACACATGCAGATCTGCATATTATTAGGGTCTCCGGAGGTTTCAGAGGATGGGTATTTATGAGCCTGTATGTTTGTGTGTCCATGTGGGATATTCTTTCATTAGAGAGGCATCAGAAGAACAATTGTGCACTTCCTATTGAATCACTTGATACCAATGAAAACCTAGAAGACAGAGTTAAGAAGAAGCCATTTAAGCCATTTTTCATTTCAGATTTTTGTTTGATGTGTTTTCATTGGTTATCTTTTTAACGCTCAACCAATGTATCATGATTGCTAAAAACAACACAGAAACAAAAAAACAAAAAAACAAGAGCTGTTATTTTTTCTCCCAAAATATCTCCATGCTCTGATAAAAACAGGGTTCTCCATCACTAAAAATAAGAAATAAAATTCAAATAAATGAGCTCTAACACAACCCAATGCACTATTCTCATATGTGACAGACTTGACAGAGGTCAGACTGGTAACTTCAGCGCTCGCGGTTGGCAGGATTAAAATGTCTGGTCACAATTCATCACATCAAGAAGCAGATGAGCCATTACAGACAGCTCGATACAGCTTAAGGCCCCCAAGTCCTCTCCTTCGCAGCATTCTTCTAGGATGTGAATGAGGAAACCTGTCATTTGAAAACTAAAACAGTAGTGATTTTTTTCCCACTCTCATTGCTGGATAATGCTGTCAGAAGACATTGTGAGGATAATTTTTTTCTATTTTTTTTCCTTCTGATGAAACAAGATTTTTCTCTTGCCACCTTTTCATCAACTTGAAACTCACAATATAATGGAGAAAATCTTTCTGTTGTGAGGAAATGAAATAATTTTGTATATATATAGAACTTGAAGTGCCTCCTCACCACCACAAGGTCAGCTTTCTCATTCCACAATCATTTTGTGTTAGGACTTCAATTTGCCAAAGGGTTTCAGAGAGTGACGACAAGGCCGGATGTGTGTGAATTAATGCACGGTGGCACAAAATCTTCAGTTCCCATTTGTTGGCTAGCAGAATACTGACAAGTGTGTCGTCATGAAAGGTCATTGGCCAGTAGGGCGCTGGTAAAGAGGGCAGGAGGTCAGCAGATAGCATGCATCATTTAAGGCTTCAAAACCGTGTGTCTCTTTTTTCTTTACTAATTTCTCCACAAATTAAGTAACCCTAACAATAAGAATTAAATGACCAATGCAAAGATCCAGTTTGCACTCAGATGATTTTTCAAGATGATGGAATTCAAAACCCTCCTCAGTCATCTCCTCCCACATGGTAACCTTTCTGCAGACCACAACTGTCCCAAACAGATGTTTTTTAGGCTGGTGGCCCTGCACCCAGCCACTTTCACTGAAAAAAAAAATCTAATTTGCATGGCTAAATTGAAAGAATGCTCCAAAAAAAATCTCATTTTCATCTAATGTAGGCCCACAACAAACAAACCGATGTCTCTGTACCATATGCGCAGATGTGCAAAACTGCCTCAAGCGACAATTTGATTTCAAGTTGAGAGCGGAAGGTATTAAATTAGCTGGGGAAGAAAAAAAACAAACTTTGTTAATTTAGTGAGAGAGTAACCTTTCTTATTTCACAGTTCAGTAATACTGGATGGGTCAGTGTAGAAGAAAACAAATCCCACAGAAATTCAATCGAAACTAAAGAAAACCAACCTTTTCAGGCCCGGTGTTAACTTTGATATAGAGCATCATAAAAATTTTAAACTTCTGAAACATATATTAAACTCTTATTCGCCAGTAAATGTGAGGATTGGGTCTGATGTTGTACTCATGTCGAATTTGTTTAGGAACAAAAGTAAGCTGAAATTCACCAAAGTATACTGTGTATTTAAATTCCACTGGCATCAGTCATGTAGAACAGAAGAATCCCAATCAGAACAGGGTATCTATCAGATGTTTAGCCACTGGAGCTGAGAGTTTAATTTTGATAGTTTCAAACTGCTTTGTATATGCCAGAAATACCACCACAAAGACATAATTAGGAGCAACATAAAAAGGCCAGCAGTGCCTGATGGGAAGTTGCTGCAGGGCCAAAGTGAAAACTGCTGTCTGGGGTATTCAGGCTGCAGTTTGAAGTCAGTCACCTGGCAGTCAAGTCACTCAGCAAGGTCTTCCCATAGCAACAGATCAAACATCATATTTAATCACACAAACAGATAGCCCCCCACAAGGGTTTTAATGGACCTAAATGTGCAGAGATGAGAGGGAACAAAATACCACAGATTTTTAAAACTACTCTTGTTTGAAAAGTAAAACTTGAGTTTGGCAAGATGTTTAAGCAAAACAAAAAAAACAAGGCAAGGGGAATTTCTTATTTTCATAAAAGTCACAGCTCAGCAGAAAAAAGCTTTAGGCTGCAAGATCAATAACTAATTATGCGACAAACTTCTAAAAACTGTATTTTAAGAGGAGAAGAGACAACAACAAATTGTGCCATTGTGTTGACTTTGCAATTCACGCAACTTTTACTAAAGAACCAGGATGATCAAACTGAAAGGTTCAGTTGTGTACAAAGCTGTCTTATGAACTGATGATGGAAACACCAGGCATTTAAAGCCACCCGTTTTGCAATTGTGGAAAAAATTGTGAAAGGAAATAAGCGTGGGAATTAAACCCTTTACCCCAACACCAGTGCATCTTTGAGGATTTCCCCTCAAACTGTTATTTCAGTTTTCAGAGCTCAGGATACTACCCATGGGAGGCTTTCAAGTCCTGGCCTCTGGCCCTGGCATTGTACTCAACTGCATGAGCTCGCATGCAGAATCCTTACTCTGTGTAAACTCAATCAATAGAATTCTACTATGAATGGCTATATTCCAACAGAAACACATATACAAAGGAATTCAACTGTATAAAGAAAACTCATTAATTAGTTACTCACAGGAATAATCTCACACATTTCTGCTTTTTAGAATTGTTTTCTCAGGGGAAAAAAGGTGTGATAGGCAGAATACAACAATAAAACAGTTCCAACTTCACCCCTAAAGTTAATCTCAGATTTTTAGTCTTAGTATAATAAAGATCTATTGTCAGCAAACTCGAAATGCAATTACTTCTACACCACCTGAATAATCCTCTGGCATCAACACCTGCCGTACAAAGATTCTTTCACAAAAAGCACAAAGAGATGCTGTGTATCAGATTACGTCTAACCCTGAGGTATTCACTAAAGAAAGTAATGTTTTGGTTTTAGGATAAAAAATAAAAGGACAAAATGACTTTTGTCTATCTTTGTGTGCAGTGTTCAGAAAAGGAGATGGGTGAAGTAAGAGTGAACCACCATGCCCCTTTCTCTGTGATCTGTCAATTTCAAATATCTATTTGCACAGACCACCGTTTGCAATGACTAGTCACAACGTAGAGGGACAGTTTCTTTTTTCTTCACAAGCAAAAATAATATTGAAAGAGACTCATTGTCCTTTCTCTTGTAAGGTGACATCATATAAACAGTCACGTACAAACTGTTGGCACACAGAAACCTATGTCAATTACCATAGAGTCAATTTCCAAAGAGGCCTTAATCAAGGAGAGTAAGGATGTTGATTACCCTAATTTTATGAAGCATCACACTGTGAAACAAATGACAGGCAAATGTGCCAAAACAAAAACCATTATGTGCTTTAACAAATGAAGCAGACATACTTACTGAGATAATGGCAGCCAGTGTCTCTATAGCGCCGGTGCTCAGTGTGATGTAGGGAATCGTGTTCTCAACAAAGCCTGCTTCCCGAAGGATCCCATTAGTGTAGTACCAGATCTGCAAGAAAATAAATCACGTTTTACAAGGGGTGCCAGTTTTCAAAACATTACTTGGGTTTTTTTTACAACATTTCTGGCAATCTTATCAGTGTTGAACCTGAATAACATATTGTTTTGTCTTGATGTGGAAATTAGGAAGTATGAAAGTACATTGACTTTAAAAGCCTGATGATGAAATCCAATCCCGGTCACCCATACACACTAATCAAACCAGCGGCCTTTTTAATCCACAGAATTGAGAGAGAGGAACCCTAAAGCAACTGTTGAAAAGCAGGAGCTTTAGATTATACTGTAAAGGCAGCAATATTCTGTGTAGCCTCTATGGATACTTTTACAGAAGCTCATTAAGCTGCTGTGAGATTTTTCTTTGCCACACTGAAGTATTTACTTCAGTCATTTGATCCATTTTGATGGTGATGTTGAATAAGGTGTGGCAATCAAAATAGATGCCTCTGGGGTAATCTAAATTACATTTTGGTCTCGTTCGAATGAAAGTACATGTAAATTAAGTCATTTTCTAATCTTTGATTATTCAAACATAATGCTATTTCCAGGTTAGATGCAGATTACGCAAACATCCACCAACACATCAAACATGAAAGTGTGATAATGGAAAACTAAGTCCAGGCTTTATTATTCATTCTCAATATTCATCCTAACAGCAGTTTCTTACAGTTTCTTTGAAAAAAAAGGGACCCGATCAAATACTGCCTTTTCAATATATATGGCTTTTTAAAGGTCTCTGTATTCGTGTTTTTAGTTTGAAGGCTTAGCGAACCTTAAGACTATCTCCATAAAAATGTTCCAGTTCACTTTATGTTTTAAGTTTAATCCAAACATGTTGGATTCTGAATGTTATTGCCACCCTTGGTTGAACAGTAGATGAAATAAAAATGCAGGGCATGGGTTATAAATCACGTGATTTTCCTCTGGATGAAAGTCTTTGACTTTTGGCTGTCCATCAGCATTCCTCCCGCTTTCAGAGGTCTTTGGTAGTCACCCAAATATGCTGCTTAAATGTAAAGAAGTGCTGATATAAAGAATGTGGGAATATGTGAAATGGGACACAGCCCCTCCCGTCTAGAGCTGCTATTTTTATGACAATTTAAGTATAAGACATGCAGGGCAGGTCCAATAACTGGACTGCCTTCCTTTGCACCCCCCCCCCCCCCCCCCCCGGATCAGCAGGAGGCGGTAGTAAAATATATTAAGCAGACAGAGCCAGTATAGGCACTGCATCCTCCTAAGGCCTGCAGGTACTTACAGTAAGGACAGGTCGCTCTAATTGGGAGAGAACTCATTATTCAATACACGAGAACATTTTTTTTTTAAATATCTTGTCCATGATTTGACTCTCCGCAGAGGTTTGATAAATTTGCAGGATTTCTCTACCTCTGCTTAGCCCTTTTCTCAGCCGAGAAAATAAAACCTGTTTTTGCAAAGACACATAAAAGGTCACAACTGTTAAGGCGGATATTCCACGGGGCATAAATGCAGCGGGCTGCTACAGCTGATCCATCTCCTGACAGACACTATTGATGTTTTTGTCACTTTTGAGACTTAAGTGGGACAGCCCCTCTGAGCAGAGAAGAAAACAAAGACATTTTCAATGTCAGAGTTGCTCCCCGTTGTTTTATCAAAAATGTGTTCATCTCTTTGTGCTGACATATTGATATCCATGAGGAGTCACATCACGCTGACTAATGTCTGCATGTGATAAACTGTTGCTCCCCTGGCAACATGTTCAGTATAGCATAAACACCGTTTAATCCATATTTTGTTATCCAAAAGGGTCCAAAGGCTCAACACTGACGTTATAAACGACTCGTTCATAACGGCTTCCCAGCGTTCATTACTATAAACTAAAATGTTTCTGAACCAAAAAGATTTTCTAGACGAATGTAAATACAAAATAATTCTATCAAACATAGAAGATAAGTGACTATAAATGTAAGGTATAAGCCATGGTTTATGCGAACAAATGTGAATCGTGTGAAACAAAAGCTAAATCTTACGGCGTTGAGGCCACAGAGCTGGTAGCAGGCCATGGTGATGATGATGGTGATGAGCTGCCAGCGAACAGCCGGGCTCCTCAGCAGCTGCCACACAGACACCGTGTTGAGGTTATCCTGAGCCCGGGCCTCCGCATGAACCTCTTCCAGCTCCTGTGACACATCCTTCTTCCCTAAAAACCTCTGAAAAGCTGACACACACAAACACACGCACACACACACACACGTACTTTGATAAGAATTATCAGGAGTGCAGGAATTATTAATAACAGCCATCATGCTGAGATTAAAGATGGGGATTTGAGAACAAAGCGTTTGCTCACAAATGGAGATGCTTGTTAAAGGCTGAACATCCAATTAGTCTACACGAACATCTGAAGGTCTCCTGCAGCTTTACTGAGCACCTTGTCCTCCTTATGCAGTTTCTGCCCTTGATTTATACCAGTTATTTGACTCCTTTTGGCCCCATAAAGTGACTGTTTTAGGTTCTATATTATAATCGTGTAAGACATTTCAAGCAATGATCACAATCCGACACGTAACATTATGGAAAAAAAGAGAGAAAACCTTCAAATATTGGAAGGTTAACAAATAGGGGCCTGTTCATTAACTCGCTGGTAGTTGGCTGATTTTCAGTCCTTCCTGAAAAGGTTCCGCTGACCCCCTCCCGTCTCCCCCCCACGTTGCTGATGCATGGCTTATGGAGGTTCCCCGTTGCCCTGAATGCACCGCACATCTGTCCATCCACCCGTTAAAACCTTAAACCACCAGTCCATCTTCAAGGGTAATCACGAGTTTTTGGCTTCGAATTAGAATCTGAATCCAGAACTAAATGCTATTGATTGGTGGTTGTTGTTTTTTTCAGTCTTCTGCATGTCTTATTTACTTACTGTATTTCTTCAGATGGTTTGCGGCTATGAAAAATAGGTCCCGATATCTTAATGTGCTTTTTCCCTGCAAACTTTTGTCTTTTGTTGTTGTCCAAAAATCCTACCGACCCATTTAACCATTTAACCTCACAGCTCAGTTTCATCTGTCACCTGTCAATTTTTTGGCAGCATAAAGGGTTTCATTTAGTTCATTTAGCTTTGTGATATTCCTTAAGTTGCATTATTTTGTAATATTATTGAGCAGTGATATTGAATTTGTCATTTCCTCCCATGGCTCTCCTCATTTCTGACTGGCAGTTGGGTGGTTTCTCAGCTGAAGATTTGTGGCATCTGCATGGCATGGAGAGTTTCTTTTGTGGTCACCACTGTTTGGCAGAGGCTGAGGAGTTTCAGGTTGCCAGCACTGTAATAACCTAGGCTGTGGCCTTTTTTATGCACCACTGGGTGGGTTTCATGCATGCAATGTTGCATCGCACTGTCAAAGCCTGACACTTCACTCGGAAATTCGTCCTGACCCTAACCCTCATATCTCCCAAGAAAAATGTGAATACACCACAGTCACAAACAATGACAAAGATGTATTGGCATTTTTTACATTTACAAAATCATGCTCAGCTACAAGCAATGTAACTAAGTCCAGAGGATTTTCCTACTGAAGGTACAGTATCTTATATTTCTATCAGAGTGTGTGGGCTGTTTGACGGGTTTGGTATTCAATGAGTGTCCATCTTCAGTCAGGCCCCCCCATTATAAACCCTTTAGTAGATGTTCTATGTAATGCCTAAACCTGGATAAAACAGCAACCCAGTTCAATGAGAAGAGCAAAAAGTTGTCGGTCAGATCTGAGTTGAAGCTGATCACATCTTACTCAGCCATCTTATCCTTCAGGCCTACCAGCACATAATTCTTCCACCTGTTAAAACCTTAAGCCTTTCCTTCATGACAGTAGCCTTCAGACAGCACCGGCTGTTATTTCTGTATCCATGTGCATGGAAATGAAGAGACAATTTTGCTCAAAGACAAAAACCAAACGTGCATAGGAATGTCAGATGCATAGGAATGTCACGTGAAAAAGCAAGTTATTTAAATAAAATGTCATTGCGTTACTCAGCTCTGTGGATGTTTTTGAGCTTGCTCCTAGGCAGAGCATGTGTTCTCAAAATGAGAATAGAAACACTCAAAACTGGATACAATGTGTGCTTATAGAATTTTAATTATCTGAGGGGCTCATGCAATTTTGTAATTATAAAGTTTCCATTTTGTGACAAGAAGGGGATCCTGTTTATATAATTTATAGGATAGTAAATCATTATTCTTATTATTTTTGTTGTTTTATTAATTTTAAACTGCAAACATTTTGTCAAGATGATTCATTTTCTTGGTAAAACACACACTAAAATGATTCCTTTACATTAAATAATCGTTTGAAGGTGTAAATATTTGTGCTGAAGCTTGTGGCCATCATATCAGTATGAATGTCTCCTCTGAGACAGATAATTTATTAACATATTACATTGTTATGTGGAATAAATTATTCTCCGCTTTTTGCCTTTGTTTGATGCCTCTAAGTCGATTAAGGTTTTTGAATTTTCAATTTTGCAGCCATCAAAGCTTAATTAAAAAAATGTTATATATACTGGTCGGTCATTAGAAAATACATATATTGATTTATATCATTTGTGTGTAACACAGATGCCTTCCTTGCTGTGTGAAAGTTAATGCAGTAGTTTTGTTTAGGAAAACAAAATCAATAAAAAATCATTACAGTCCGCCTGGGGTAAGGTGAAGATGGAAGGGTGCAATTCTGTAGCCTCCTCTGTAAACAGCCCTTTCTGACTCTACATCCAAGTGCTCATTTTATAATGCACACTGCTTAGATTTGAGAATTTAATTGCAAATTGCAAAAGGAATTGCAGTGATTCATTTCTTCTGTAAAGGATTTGTTTTACTTTTCTTTATGAGTTCAAATGTGTCTAAGACTGTGGTTTATCATTCCTAGTTTAGTTCCTTAGACAAATGCACAAACAATCTATATGATATAATCACTCTTTTAAGTCTTGATTTAGAAATTCTGGCTAGCATAACAGTTCACTTAGGGTTTGTGGGTGTTAGTTTATAAACAGCTTTCACCAGATTATTGTAATCAGGCAGATTTTTGGACTTTGTTTGGACCACAGTTTGAGCTGAGATGCTGGGTTTCACTGATCAAAGTCCTGTGCAGCATCTTCAATGAGGGGTCTGAATTGAAGAATAGTTCAATCAATTTCCTTAAGTCTTGTCTTTGCTCAACTCTAATTCACCAAGCCTGTTCTTTTTAGACAGAAACTGCTTCAGTCTCCTAATACTTACAACCCCTTTTTGGTCCAATAAAATAAAACCTTGTAATTTAAAGAGCGTGTGCCTCTCTTTACGTTTCTTAATGATGTTAGAACAGTGTACCATTCAAATTCAGCTAGAAGTCTTGATCTTTTCTTAGTCTGAGGAGTTGAATGTCAGGGAAAGATGAAGATGGAGTGGGTATAGAGAAACCCCTTTCATCACCTTGATCCTTTCTCCTCTGTGGGTGAATCCCTGAGGTTATGGGAAGATCAGGTGGATAGAGATTAGGGACACAAGCCAGAAAAGGACTTATCAAAAAACAAGACAGGGTGTTAAAGCACAACAGAGTGCACTGGCTCTTTGTACAGACACTGACCACACAACATACACACCCGTCAAACTAAAGCTTGATCCTCGGTCTCCTTTGGGGGAATGCTGCAATATTTGTAAGGTATAAGAATAGTGAGGACAGCCTGTGAAAATATTTTTAGAGCCTGCAAGCAACGACAGCTGTCACAATCCCAATACATTCATCAGGACTTTGATGTTGTACAGTTATGTACTGAACATAACTAGTGTGTGTGTGTATATATATATATATGTAAATCCATGTGAAAATGTAGTCGCAGGACTTAATCTATTCAAGCTGATACTGTCTGACTTTAAGATGTGGGATGTACAATCTGCAAATAAAACACACTCTCTAATTGTTTGATCAAGTAATGTTACCGTGTATATAGCAAGAAAAAGGAACTGTCCTCACCATTTTATTGGACACTTCGTGGCCCATGGCACAACATTCACACTATCACAAGTAATGATTTCAAACCCCAGCTGGCTGAAGCTGATGGCCACCCACCCACAGTCTGGTTCTGCCAGAGGTTTCTTCCTGTTCAAAGAGATTTTATTTTCCACTGATGCCTTGTGCATGCTCAGGATGGGGGATTGGATTTAAGTGACGTTTCAGTTCAATCTTCTCTCTCTCTCTCTCTCTCTCTCTCTCTCTCTCTGTCTCTCTCTGTTTCTGAATTGGCTGCATGAATTGGTCCGATTTATTAGAAATTCAAGTAATTGGAATTGGGAGTAAGCATCATTGCATATCAGGGTTTACAGCCCTGTGATGAACTGTCTAGGGTGTACATTGTCTTTCACAGCAAAGATAGCCAGTCTCCCCTTCCAAAGACCCCCCCCCCCCCCGCCCCCCCGATAATTGATGGATGGATGGATGATTGTGTTGTGATTATAGTACAATAAATGAACAGTAGCTTTAGGTACTTTATTAGATTACATGATTTAGTGCTAAAAATATGTATTTTAAAATAAATTTGAAATGAAAATTAAATGGATTTTTCACGTATTATTTCTTAATGGAAAAATGCATTAAATGTGCAAAACTTGTCATTTCTAAATGCTCTGTAAGATGAAATGTTTTAGCTAACCAGATGTGGTTTTTATCTCAACATTTAGGTATTTTTTGTATTAATAATGTCCACTTAAAATGACATGTACAGCAAGTTAATTATGCATTGTTAAGGCTGTAAGAATATACGGACTGAGAAGAAACAAGTAACAAGTTCTCCATATTAGCAATATCATTGTGATGTTTCTATGAAACCAAGGGACCAAGTGTGTCATTGTGCCAGGTTTAGTTTTCCCTGTGTGAGACAGCATGGCTCCATTCTGTGACACCATTATGACCAGACACTCACAATGCCATAAGGAGGAGGAGGACACAGCAAGCAACCTTTAAATTATTCTACACTTTGACTGAACTATTGATTGTATGGCATTATGTGAAACCTGGCTGGAGAAACACACATTTAAGTCAGTCCTATGAGTCTGATCAATGTGTTTAGAGAAATGTTTGCTTGAATGTGATGGTTAATATTGCACTGTGACAAGAACCTGGAATGTAACAAATACCAGATATATTGTCACGATCCATGGCAAGTTTTTTCCACAAACTACTCTTTTCATGCAATGATAAGTATTCCATGTTTTGTTTTTCACAATATAATTTAAATTAAAACACAAAGACTGGCACTTTCTCCACACTGGCTATGCAGTAGCGCAACAAAAAATAGTGTTGACTAAACTATTGTAAAAAATAGGAAATTTTACAGAAGGAATTGCATAATTTCACTTTTTTTTTTTCTTTTTTGCTCATTTCGAGCTCAAGCTTCATCCTGGTGGCCCAGACCACTGGAGCTACACGACATGACAGGACACGAGACGTGGTGCATGAGAACAGGCTGTTCCTGCCTGGCTCTCTGTGACGATAATAGGAAAGTGCAGGGCCCGCCTGGAAGATTGGTTTGTATTGACAACAATTCACTCCTCTGCAGTGCTGCAACACATCCCGACAAAATAGCGATGCAGCCTGGTGCGGATTCATGCCAGCACTATGTTGGCTTGCAGAGGTGAGGAAAAACTTTTGGGGAGTCAAAGTTCCATATGCTTAAAAAAAGTTTTGTCTCTAGGAAAGGGGTAGACTAAGATTTATTTCACAACTCAGTATTTTAAGTCTGATTCAAGGTCCAATCATTTTGTAATTTTGTTGTCAAACTGATTTTAAAAACTCACTAAACACAAGGATTCACTTCTTTCTTATATGAATCAGAAAAAAGTAGGCCATCATCAGAAAAGCGTCATCTCCTCAGCTCAAATACACTGAAGTGATTAAAAACTTGAATCTTTGGTGCGAGAACCAGTACAAGACAAATGAGAAGGTTATAAAAATAAAAAGGTTTGCAATATGTTGAAGTGCTCAATCAAGTATACAGTGCACTTTTTTCATATATCAGATCATTAAAATTGAAATATTAAAGAGATTATTCAAATTCTTTAAGGACACTATTAGTATTATACTAGTATTATACTATTGTACCTTTGTATTATTTTACGGAACCTCAATATTACTTTTTTACAAATGTAATGATGAAAACAAAAATTTATTTTTTATACCATTGCCAATTTTTTGCATGGTATAATATATACAAGCTGTATTTATGGAAAAAATATCTGTGTAATTCATGTGAAGCCTCCATTATTGATCCTTCTAGAACTCATGCGAAACTCTTTAGCTCAAAAGAAATAACCAGGATGTTCAAAGTTTCTAAGATCTCAAGAAAGCAATGCCTCAGAGAGAAAACATCTATAATGTATGGATATGGAAATCAAAGAGTGCACACTACCCAAGAGACAAAATGGTCAAAGATCAGTCTGACAACACCATTTTTCTCCACGCTTCGTTTACAAATGCACTTTGAGTCAGAATGAAACCAAATGCCATTTGGTTCCATGTCACATCATCTAATCATTGAACAAAAAAATAAGCTGAAATACACATTAAGGAAAGACTTCCTTTCTTAACTTGGAAGGTGGGCAACCTGAGAGCAAAGAAGTTCAGACTTATTCCACAGGAGCTGAAGAAGAATTCAATATTCCATGGTTCCGGGGATCTCCATCAATCCCTCCACCAGTTACGGTAGTTAAAAGCAGGGGTGTGCAACTCAAGGCCTCGATTGCCACTGTGCTGCAGGTTTTAGATGTTTCCCTGTTCTAACATACCTGATTAAGATTAAATGGACCTCTTCTAAGATTGTTAAATTCAGCACCGCAGAGCTGATGTGTTGATTTGTATGAACTGCGTGTAGCTTTGAAATGTTCAAAGCTACTTTATAAAAAAAATAAACTTAAGTTAAACGGGCAAAGAATAGAAACAAAAAAAGATTCAATCGTAATACATGTGAAAACTAAATGGACAATCCCAGAATCAACTGAGGCAAAAATCCTTCACTGCTAAGATTTGTTTTTCATTTTTAGTACAGAGGATTTTTAAGGGACGTTAACAGAAATGGCAAATAATTACAAACTGTGTTGTTCTCCATGCCAAATTTAGTTTAATATAGTTAATGCAAACTGTTTTTCTGGTGATTAAAGTATCATATTGATAGTGCCTTCAAGCCAAAGAAAACCATATTTCTAAATAGAATGTGGCATGCTGGTGTTCCACTTCAATGTTTGATTTTAGCAGAAAATCAGTTTACTTCTATCTGATCACTGACGCTTGTTTTGTGTGTGTGCTCTAGCAATGTGCGAGCTCTGACATCTTTGTGTTGCTTCTTCCATTTTGTTTTTTTTTGTGTCCCCTTCCATTGTCGATTGTCACCATTGTGTGCACGAGTGTACGTAGAGCCTGTGTGATTATTGCTTAAGAAGAGCTGTATTTTTCCATAATATCAGCTACTTGCATTCTTTTGAAAGATTTGTAAAATCTAAATTGCAGAATGTTGCAGAAAGTCCCACATGTAAAGACACATATTTAATGTTGGATAATTACACATAAGGACAGTTTTTTTCTCTCCAAATGTCTCAGTCTGTATGACACTATTCATTAGCTGTCATTGACTCCTGTCATGAGGTTGTCTCTTGTCCAGTGATTCCTAAACTTCAGTTTGAAACTTGATTTGAATCCCCTATATTGAGTGATTAGTAGGGTGTCTTTCTGCTGTGTATAAACCTTTTTCTGCTCCCGCCTCGTCCTTCCTCTCCATCAGTAGGTAGCGAGGGCTCTCTGGGAGGAAGGGCAGCACACAAAGCTGCATTAGCGCTGGAAATGCCAAGAAGGAAAACAAGTAGTTCCACCTGGACTCCTGCAATCATGAAAAGAGGAACTACATCAAAGCTTCAGCATTGGAACCATTTCAGTATTGTCAGCGAGGACTTTTCAAAGCAGATGACTTACAGCGGTTACACAACACTGCGCTGAGTGAATGAATGCACATCTCTTTCTTGTACAGATATGGTTAGTTATCTGTGGTTTCTACAGGAACGCACAAAGGCCCTCTCATGTAAGTTCTGTAGGGTTCATGGCCACATTAATTATCACTTGGAGCAAATAATCTTTTAGTAGATGTGAAATGTCTGTGAAATGTGTAGGTTTTGCCAATTTTCAAGGCGTGAATATAAAAAAAAGAAATGTGAAAGTTTCAATATCAAGCCATCAAATTAAAAATGTAAGTTTTTAGTCGTTTAATATAGAACATTAAGTGTTAACCAAAGCATCACTAATTTAACATTTATAGAATGAGATGATGGATGCCATCTTAACTGTGTTCAGTGTTTTCACAAAAACCCTCCGTGGATACATATTCATTAAAGTCTGGCAAATATAAGGAAGCGGGTGATCAACAAAGTCTTTTTGGTGGCATAATTCAAAACACAAAGAAAATTCACAGCCGCTCCTGAGAAGAAAGAGCTGGGAAAGGTAAATAAACCCGAAATTTAGGATATGCACTGCATTTTTCATCTCTATGACAGCAATCTGAAAAACAGTGTTCTCAACAACATAATTAGGTGTATTTATAATTAGATCGGATAATGAGGTCAGACACAGACAGATGTTAAACTCAAAAACATCCAGCAACAGCTTTTCAAAACAGAAATAGAATCTCACAGTCTTCATCTTATCGGCTCAGTAAAATAGCATTTATTGTGTTACTGGTTTACTGATTAGTTGTTTTAGTTAGTTGTCTTTACACGAGTCCCCTGTGATAATGCCTAAGTTGCAGCGTGCCATGTCCCTACTACATCTGCATCCATTCACAATCTTTTTCTTTTCTTTTTCTCTACTCATGCAACTGACTTTCAACCAATACAATTACATTCCTGCTCAGTCCTTTTAACGTAAACGTCATTTTTTCGATTCATCATTCTCATCAGTTTTTGTAAGACATTCACTTTTATTGACTGATGCAGTTTAGAAAACATCTTAACAACACGTTTATGTTAAAGGACTAGTTAGCAAAGGTTGGGTAAAACAAAGCTGATATCGCAATTTACAAATGTACAGTCCTCATATCTGCAAAAACACATAAAGAAATATATATTTCATTTCTGTCCATCTGTATAGAAAACAGATTTAAAGGTGCAACTCTTTTTCCCATGAATTTTTAAAAACTTAAATTGACAATCAAATGTGGAAGAAAAACCTGTGCCAACCATGCAAGCGCAGTTATATTTTTGTTTGTTTCAACATTACTATGCAAAAATTAGTAGTTTTCCACTGCTGTACCTTACCCAACATTGTTGATTAAGGAAATAAATCTTACTATGATCAGGGCTGGAATGTCAAGTGTCATTATTATTATTATTACTTCTCCTTCTACAGCCAAGAGATATCATGTAACTTTTGTAACTTTCCTCTTGCAAACTCCTCAATATCCCAGCAAAATAAATTAGGCAAATCCCAACATTTCTATAATGCATTTTGACAACATGGTGGCTTTGCCCTATTTCCGTGTCACATTACTTAACCTCCATTACTTATCTGAAATTAGGTGAGTCATTTCCTAATTTTGTTTCCCCGACTCTCTCCCGTGCGTTTCACAGATTTCTACAAACTACCTCTACAACCAGACTCAGGAATTAGAGAAGTTTGCAATCCAAAAGTGAGGGAGGAGAAAGTAGAGACAAAATTAAGAGAGAAAAATATTACTCTTATCTTAATCAGTCCGTGTGTGTATGTTTCTCAGCAATGTCTGTCCGAGATACAATGCCCTCTATTCCTGTCTATGACAGATGGTCCAGCTCCTTTGAGTGATCCTGCAGAATAAATGATGAGATTGGCCCTGTATGCTTTACAAAAGAGATGCCAAACTGATACTGAGCAGTGACCATTTATCGACGCGGGATAGAAGTTGCTGATTGAATCTTTAAGACCAAAAAATACCTGTTCTGCCTGTGTCAGTTTCTGTAGCTCCAACCTTTATCTTCTTTATGCCTTACATTATGATAATTCTCTGTAACATGGTATAAATTCACTGACAGCATAAGTCAGCAACCTCAAACGTATTACTGATCCAAGCAGCAGAGATGTAGAGATTAAACCCAATTGCTCTTTCAGCTGCTTTGTCACAATTTTTCTTTCTTCCTTTAGTTTCATTGCATTCCTTTTTATATTTGAAATCTTACTCCTATTTTATTGATAGTATAGGAGAGAAAACATTTAATATTGAGTGAGACAATTCACAGAAATGATATGTCAGGATTTTCAATGTTTGATCTGTTTTTGTGTTTGTTTTTTCTGTTGTTCTGTAATTGGGGATGTAATTATTTAATTTTCCTCTTTAAATTATTTTTTGCCCTCACTGCCATGCTGCTTCCAATTTAAAAAGGTACCGCGTAACCATTTTAACTCATTACAACCCATGCAGGAGGCAAAATGTGACGGTTCAACATTCCATATAAAATGTTCTGATTGTGATGCTACATTGTGCCAATCATACAGTATACACACACACACAAAGAATACTAATGTATATTTGATTCGGCACTTGTAAGCGATGTGATTAATTGATGGGTTCAGAGGGGTCCTGAGACACACAGTCATGCATACAGTATTGCTCTCAGCAGGAACAACTAAACAAATATCAGCGACCTGATGTCTTACAATATGTGGCTTCTAACTGGAGGGAGCTTTATGTTGCTCTCATTCCACTCTTTTCTCTAAATCCCAAATGATTAGCTGAGACTTTTTTTAAAAGGCCTGCCAAGAAATTCTGTTAAGTTGATGCAATCCATTATCATCTTTTTGATTTGACAAATCCAGAGGATGAAACCTTTGCTTTTTTTCTGGAACAATCACACAGAGTACAATGGGAAGCTCTGGCCACTGTTTAGAGAACCATAGAGGGCTTTGTGTAGTGATGTTACTTCTGAGACAGTGGTAATGAAATCTTCAGCGGCATAACATCTGCAGTGTATCAAATTATACCAACTAATGTTCTTTATGCTAAGTCAGCCTTAATTACGCTACCTGTGCATGATCCAGTTTCCTAATGAGTGTGCTCTATCGCAGACCTCACAAAGTTTAGTCCCGCTGCGGTTAAAGCCTGTTTTCATTCTCACAGCAGCAAAAAAGATTAGGACTGTTACTCACTGTTTGCTGGACATCATTGCATATTTATATGAAAGTTCCATTCCCTGGCAGGGTAAATAGATAGTTCATAAAAAAAAACGTTCACTTCTGCATGTGGCATACCACATGATATGAACCCTAAAAGCACTGAATGACAGCTGCTTTAATAGCCAACTCAGTGAAAGCATCATTTACCGGTAAGCTAAATTTACACCGGGATATCAATTATCTGGAAGTTAAATGTCTTTCGGGAGTCATTCTATGTTTGTTTAATATGAGGGAAAGTTTGCACATATTTTCACAAAAACATAGTATGTTTTTTTCAAAGAAAAAAGAAAAGAAATCCCAACAAAAATGTCAATCTTTCCAAAACTGTAAGGTGAAATCTACCAGGATCAGGAAAAAAGCCAATCATTCCCCTGCCTACAGCTCCTTTTGATGAATGTCACCTTCTCGATAAGCCTACTTTGCTGGTGGTGTGTCAGAAGAGCAAACTGACAGCTGGCCCTTGCAGGTGTATAATGTCCATTCTTAGAATTCAAAAGGAGAATGATTTCATACAGGGGAAGAATATGTGGATATCTAAATTAACAGCTGAAGTGAGGTTCTGAGAATAAAAAGATCTAGCAGGTTTATAAGGAACAATAAGATCTTTCACCTGGACTTGATATAGGCTTTTAGGATTTTGTATTTAATGAGGAATTTCAAGTTTTATTCAATAATATTCAAGGGAGCCACTGTGAAGAGGCCAATCCAAAGAATTATAAAGTCTCTTTGAAGTACCCTTGCTGCAATATTGTGGATAAAGTGAGACTTCTTCGGGAAATTGTTTGAACATCCAGCTAAGATGGCTACAGCCTGTCATCTAACTTGTTGGCAAAAGGTCATTCAATTCTGGTGTTTGGTTTCAGCTGAAATAAAAGTGTATTTGCCGTAAACTCCAGCATGGAACTGTCAATTCAGCTTCCTCTCTAAAAAAAAAAGTGTGTGCTTCCAAATGTTAGCAAAATTGTTGCTTTCGATATCTAAACTGCCACAACCATAAAGGGAAGCTAAATTGTTACATAAAGCTTGCAGAGCAGCCAACATGGATGAAGACTATCCCTCGACAAACATGTTGACTGTTCAAACCCACACCCTCATGGGAGTGACAGATAAAAGAAAAGCAAGCAGATATCGCCATGAAAATGTAGCCAAACATCATCTTTGCCAGGCACATATGCACACTCCAGAGAATTACTTCAAGGCTCAAAGAGCCATGTTGTAAATACAATGAACACTCAGCACTACCTTGCATTTATTGCCACTCAATAAATCATATCAAATTACCATACTATAACATTCAATTGAAAAAACAGACATATCTGCAATATATCAGATGTACTTCAGTGGCACCCCCCTAAAAACAATCTATGTGTTTGAAAGATTCCACTGACCGTGGTGATGAAGAACACAAGGGCTCATCAAAGCCACTAAACATAAGCTGTTCTGTGTTTGAGGCATGCACATGGCCTCACAATCACAAGGTTGTTCAAAGATAAACTGGCTGCAGTCAATTCCCCTGGCAAAGCCCTGATAAACAGGGTTCTCTACGAGGAGAGGGTTTGTAGATGGGCATGTAGAGGAGAATAATCACCAATTGCCTTATCAAGCTTATCCAAATGTATCATTTTACAGCAGGTGACATTTTGGATTAAGCCCATTTAACTGATAAGACCATCAAGAGATGACGTGATAGTTTCACAACCTGAGATCTACAAAAGGTCGTGATACATGCATCATACTGTGACTGGGATATGAATTTGTGAAATGACGTGGGAAAAGGCATGTTGAAGTATTCATAACAGCAGCTGAAGGAAATGCAGCTCATTGGGATATTTTTCATGGTGGTCCTCAGATTAAAACGAAAGACACAGAAAATCAATACCAACACATTATCAGTCCCAGCACTTCCAGGATCAGAGCCTCTTTTCAAATGTATAAATGTCAGGCCAATGCAAGTCTAACCAAGAGTGAGGGGGGATTTACAGACTGGAAGACTTGGCAATCGCAAAACTAATTTCATTGTGCATTTAAGCAGGGAAAAAATATAGTACATGCTTATTTCATGGCAGAAATTAATATGATAGAAGCTACTTTAATTGTTTATGGTTAACAGGAAAATGGTCAGAATGGACTTTTATTTTTCTCTTCTGTTAAATCCTAAGTACGGCCATAGAACAGGCCCGAAATGCTAACAGTAAATGAATACTGCAATACACATGCCTCAAGAATGAATGGGCAGTGATTCATGGAATTGTTTAGTTTTGGCATTTTATTTCAACATGTTCTCTATAAACTCAGAAATGCAACCTCTCTCATGGTTGACCTCAAATTTATAACGTTTATTTTACACAGGATCTCTGTCCTGTGATGGATCAGCTGGAGGCCAAATCAGCAAACGCACAAGGCCCACATAAAACAGAATGTAACACAACTGGGGATAAAGTGAGTACAATTTCCTCTGGAGTTAGCAAATGATGACTGACTCTTCCAATTGCTATCTAAATGATGGATGCAGGACATCTTGAACCAGACACATACAGTACTGTGAAGGGTAAATGTAAGGGTTTTTTTCCCTAAAGTGGCAGATGGGCACAAAGTTGTCAGCCAGTCTGGGAAAGTGAAGAAAAATAATTAAGTGTGAGCAAGAATGGAATTTTCTCCGACCCCCCTCTCAAGTGCCAGCTCAAGCTTGAATGTCAAGTCAAAATGGAACTAACTGCTGCTGTGGCTGTGAAGTTGAAGAAGTCAGGGTTGAACAATAAAGCCTCATCACACAAAGGCCTTGGCATTTAAGCCTTTGTGGCCAACTTTCACCCAAATGTGATGGAGCGCAAAAGGCTGAGAGATCCATGTCATTAAGCTTTAATTTGGAAGGAAACAAGGAAGTTAGAATAATTACACATGAAGGATGTTTCAGTAACGTATGACAACAAGCGGGCAGTCAAATCAGATAAAACATTGTGTCTACATATGCATGTGTGTGTATATTTATGTAAGTTGTAATGTGAAATATTTACCATTACCAAACCCCCAAACTTAATATAGAAGATGTATGATCATTTTGATTTTATCCTTTGCTGAGATCTGATCATTAAATAATCAGCTTGAATTCCCGAAAGTGGTTTGCAGGTGATGAGCTATAAATAGCCACAGCAGTGCATAATGTCAGCTCCTCTGGCATTGTGAAAGAAGCTCGCTGATGCTACTTAGAGGCGTGTGCTATCTTCACTGCGACTCATCACATAAGATCAGAGAAACAAACTAAACTGTTGTTATGCAAGCGTGTCACTCTGGGTGGATTTCCGTCTCTTTCCATATAGATTGCTAAAAGACAGCCAGCTCCTCTGTGACTTACATTTAGCAGAGCAGAACTCTGCGTGAGAACGGCTTTGTGTCTCTGAAAGATTGCATTTTGTTTTGGTTTCAAGACTGAAATACCTCTGACTTTTATGAATGAAGCGAGGTATCCACCCTTGAGCTTGAGTGTTTCACCGTCTTTACTCAAACTGAAATGGATGCCCTGCAGTGTAATGGCTATCAGTGGAACAAACACATCTTCCATCATGGATGTACCTCACCCTGCACTTAGCTTTATTTCTGTTTTGAAATGAAATGCGAAAACATGTCAAAGTGGTTTTAGAATTTGACATTTTCATATTGTGAATAAGATGAGTTGACTTCCAAAGATCTACATTATCATGCAAATCATGAGCCAGCCCTTATTTTGCTTTAAAGGACTCTAACTTTTCTCTGATCTTAAAATAACAAAAGGGAAAATGTTGTGTTGTGTGGCAACATAGCAAAGAACCTGCAAATGTATCTTTCAGTGCCTTTCTTACAAGCAGACTATTGGGACACATTGATTGTATTTCTATAGTTGCAACGGATGAAAAATTCCAAAAACAACAGAACACCATGCAATCCCAATATCCATTGCAGTCATTACCAAAAAAGACAAGAACAACCACAACAAACTAGACTAACCTAATTGAACAAAAAAGCAACAGAAATCCAAAGAAAACTGAATAACAGTCTGGTTACCATTGAAAAGCCTTCAATCGTAGTGCTCTAGTTGAAACCGTCATGTTTTACATCCCTCCATCACCACAGACTTTAGTCTTCACCCACCAAGATGCAGAAGAACACCCCCACCATTAGTGCTGACAAAAAGCATTTAATCGAATAAGAGGTACTTTTTGATCAAACAAGCTGCAAAAGAGAATTAGCTCTTCAATGCACACTTAAATATGCTCTAAAACAAAGAGTAAAAACTGATTATCTTCATTCATTCTAAAAAAACGTGGAGTGGAGGTGGCTGCAAAATCTCTTCTTCTCAAAAAGCCTTTTTCTTCCTTTTTTAAAATCTTAAATGGAGGGTAAAACATGTGTTGGTGGGAGGAGCAGTCACTTTAAAAAAGCTTTAATCTTTCAAACCGATTAAGGTTTATACTGTTAATAAATGTTGGCGAAATAAGAGTGGCTGTGTGTTTGACTCATTCACAGTGTGGCTGTCAGTGTGTATACATTCTGTGTGATTGAAGAGGGTCTATCCACTGTTTTGCAGCTGGAATAAAGAAGGGAAACCAACTGATACGTTGTATAAATGGTGTGGAGACTGCCTAATCTGCTGGCACGTACTGGTATGTGCTGCAGAGAACGGGTTTGTTCGTGTCTCTATGCCTGGGCAAGCCGTTTCTCTTTTTACAACAACTCATTCAACAAACAAGTAATCAAGACCATAATAAATATCTGGTGGAGTTCCAACTCACCCTAACTGGATAGATTAGCCAGCAGTGTTTGCATGAATTCCACCGCTAGAGTGCATTTTGCCCCTCAGTTCACAATTCCTTAAAGTTACATAATTTGCTCTATGCCTACTCTTTATTAACCCTGTTTATGGATGACACGTGCCCTTTCGGCTAGGAAAAATAAGCTGACAACATTTCCAGAGATCATATTAAATATCTGTGGCATGCTTTAGTCAAACTAACACAGGGAGACAGAACAGGAGCTCTTTTCTTCATACATTAATTTACACCTCCATTCAAGCAGATCATTTTAGGCTGTGAAGTGATCCACTTGACTCCGCTCTGCCCCTCTCCTCCTCAGGGTCTGCCTCTTTTAAGATCTGTAGTACCTAATAAGCCTTAAATAATGCTATTATTGTATGAGGGAGCACACAGAAGATTGCCTCAGGGCTCAGACCACACACACCAAATCGAGAGAATACTATTTTACTGTAAGCTCTATCCTCAAAAACCTACATTTCCAATGGCCGCCAGCTGGCCACGAACTGATCCCTGTATCCTGCAAAATCTCACATTGTGTGTTGTGTTACACTGGTCCATTTGTGTAATTGTAATGGCTACTGGCCAGTTCATTTAATTATCAATCAAGAACTCATATTGGCTCCCTAAATTCTAGACTGTTACAAATTTAGAGTATTTCACAGATGTTTCTTTTTTAAATGGCCACTATCAGTTCCGCACTGATGGTGCATTTAATGGAAAATTCATTCAGGTAAATCAAAGTAATTGATTCAATTTCATATCCCAGCATTTTTTGTCACAAAATATAGAACGTTATCCAAAGCTGTTTAAACTTAGTAACAGTTAAATGGATCAAAACTAAGGTGGATATAAAATGTGTTGCAGGCAAAGTATACAATAACAAAGACAAGGTCTCAAATGTATTTCGGTTCTAAACCATCAGGTACTCGTAGACCAAACAGCACTACTACATCTGAACAGTGTAAAGATCTAGAGAATTATAATCTACTTTTTTGGTTTTAGCAGGAGCTCAACATTCCGAATCGGCTGCAGCTGTCAGATTTCGGCAGCAGCCCAGTAAATATGGTGTTAGAATAATCCAGTCTGCTAAGGATAAATGGATGAGCTGAATTTTCAAACTCACAGTGACATATTACATCTTGAAATATTCTACAAATGTAAATAGGGTGGCTTTGCAAATAATCTAATGTGGCTGTTGAAATTGTACATTTATAATAACATTTTTAAAAAAAAGAAGAAAAAAAAGGAATCCGCTTAGGATGTCACTTTAGATGACTTTACATATTCAGTGCCATATTGTCCATAGTTCAAACACCACTGACCTGACCCAATAGCTCCGGCAGCCCCAGCACTTGTCCTGTGAACACTCCTAAGCAGATCAGGATGGAGTTGAACTGGCCAATAGAACCTCTAATATGTCTTGGGGAAATCTCTCCCAGGTACATGGGGAGGGCACTGAGAGCTATACCTGCCGTGGGAAAAAAAGGACACACAGAAGGACCATGTTGAAATACTAATGGGGAAAAAGATTAATAGCTATGTGTGGACACATCCATAATCCTGTACCAGTGGACTACTGACTTATATATCTTGTATCTGTCTCCTTCAGAAGGACATAAAAACATCCCGTTTCAAATGATGTCTTTGTCTGAAGCCCACACTGCAAAGACAGTTTAACGAACCCCGCTGCCAGCCCTGAGGGAGCATTGTGACGAGGTAGATGGGAAGAATCACCACTGATCGGCTTCAACTGTTTCAATTTTGTTAACAATTAATGAAATTTGTACACTTGGAAGGAAGGAGGGAAATTTAACCGAGTATTATCCTGAGACTGCTATTGATCCTCATGTAGTTAGCTGTATTCCTGTATGAAGCAAATCTGGTCTGACTCATAACAAGTGATTTTATGTCAGGCAGTGGTGGAAACTAAATGAGTACTTCAGCTCGATTTAGCTCATGTTACTTTGCTCCCAGTATCTTTTAGAGGAAGACCTGCATTTTCAATATCCTTGCTTACTTGGGAACTTGAAGCACTAGTTCATTTGAAATGACATAGGTTTTATTTTTAAAGACAAACACAGTCAGATTGCAAAAGCTTTTTAGAATTCAATTTATGAATGCCAATCTTTTAAAACTCCTCTTACATTTTCATTTCAGTCACAAATTAACATTTTTAATTACACACACTTTATCAACAACAGCATTGTGCTGCTTGCAGACTGACAAACTAAAAAAAGGTCCCTCTAATTAAATAAACCACTAATTTCATTTTAGTAATATTTGCTTTGATTAACTTCATAATGCTGATAGTAGCTTTGTACTTTTCCTGGTCTTTAAACTTCAAGCATTAATTGTCATTTATTGTCAAGTTTTATAGTTTTTCATGGCGACTTTGATATTTGCACTTTCAGAGAGGAAAGTATTATAAAGTATAGAGTATTAAATATAATGTATGAATAAACTTTTTCTCTTAATGACTCACCAGAGTTCACTCCAATAATTATCCGACCAATGATGAGCATCTCAAAAGATCTGGACATCTCGCCCAAGGACAGCAGCAGAGCGGCTATCACAGCAAAGCCATTATTCAGCAGCAAGGTTCCCTTTCTGGAAGCCAGTTACATGATTGGAAGTTATTAAACATGAATAGTTAAGTGAATAACATTGACTGCACTGACAATTCAAATGAAATGCAAAACCATTATTCAATCTGTTTTGTCATAAGTGCCTTAATTGTGATTTAAAAAGTCACACCAAGCTCATTTCTCATCCATCAAAACATTTCAACTATGCTTTCTGTAACAGGGAAACACAGAACCTCTGAAAAACATTAAAGCAGAAATGTGGTTAGTCTGCCACCATTAAGAGAAGATCAGTTGTTTGAGGCCAAATAACACTTCAATTTGTTAAAAGAATTTTCCTCTACAATGACAAATTGTTTCAGTCACAAGGAAACTGGAACAAAGTTGTCACAATTAAGTTCAGTGCTGCACAACCACCCAAATAAACCAAAAATAAATAAGTCTGTGGAGACTTCTGCAGTGACCTCCACTATGGGCCACTAAGCAAACTACTCTTTTCTGATAACCTGCCAAATATCCAAAGGCCCCACTCACCGGTTTCACAACCAAATACAAATCCATTTGCCCTTTGAAATATCAAAGGTTTGCATTTGTTTCTGTTGTTAGCTGAGCATCTTTTTACCCATAAAAGTTCAAATAGCTCCTTCTAACATATTCCTCCACTTCTGTCAAATACTCAATACTTTTAAGCAGTGCTGAGCTGGAGGGCTGACACGGACGCATTCATTACTGTTTTTCATTACTGAGTGGAGATCAAAGTGTGATTTTTCTTCTATACTGATTAACAATTTGTCCCTTTTTGGTGTATACGAAAGCTATAGCCAGCAGTTAAGTTTGCAATGAATAATGGCAACAAGTCCAAATAACAAGCATTGAAGTGGTCTCTGGTGTCTTTTGAGCAGACAACAGTCATGCTTTCCTGACTGTGGTGGCTTAAATGGAACTGATTATTTTCTGTCTCAATACGACCCAAGTCGCATACTTTACAATTACAAAATTCATAGCAGACTTTGAGTAAAGACCCTGCAGATGAATAGGGTAAAAAAAAGTGTTTTCACAGGATTAACCATTGTCTAGTCTTATAGATGCAAAAAATCTGTTTTGTTTCAGTGAGACTCTGAGGAGCACACATTGCCAAGGTCAGTCTCAAATTGCATTAAAGTGGAGTAAAGAGATATACAATTTGTGTTAATAACTTTCTATTACGTCCGTGCTCCGAAAAAGTTTCAAGTAGCAAAACATCTCAGTTTTTAATAAAAACAACTTTCAATTATATCAGCTCCACTGGCAAACTTTTAATGAACCACTTGATCATTCTTTGAAGTAGTTTTCTTTTAGATTGCTTCCTATGTCCTCATCTGCTAATATATATTCAACTCCTCTCCCTGACATCTGAATGTCAACCTCTCCTGGACTCTGAGCTGAACTACCAGCTGGCCAACAGATGTCCAGCACAGAATATGTAGAGAGAAGGAATAATACCTAAAGGCCTAATCAACACATTTGAAAACTGCTACTAGAGAATTCCAAGGTGAATCATTAGGGCATCTCAATTATCCCAAATCACAATGAACAGAAGCTTCATAAGTCTTTCCCGGCCCTGACACAGACATTATTATCTTTATCATTTTCAAATGTTTATCATCCCAAAGCAGTGCGGTGCTTATGTCAGTGGACGAGCATAGCTGGACCTCTATAGTCCTATAGAAAGGTGGTGAAACAACTAAGCTAGGCCCAAACCTGAGAAACTCATTGGCTGCAAGATTGGATCTCACAGTGTAAAATAAGATGTCAAAATGTAACCAATGGATCAGAAGAAAATATGTTTTTCAACCAATTCATGTGTGTCCTTGGAATCTGTAATCAGCCAATCAGCCACAAGAAAAATAAATAAGTCAGAATAAGGGTCAGTTCCTTTAAAATAGTGCTTTGCTTCGTGAGAAGTCTGCATGTGAGAAAGGCTCTGTGTAAAATAGCTGCTCAGCTGCCAGGACCCCATAGGACCAGCCCTCACTGGAACTGGGCATTTGGGGGAAAGTAGGGGAAGTCTGGGAAATAAAGTCATGTTGCTTCTGTGACTGTGCCAGTGAAATTTAAAAAAGAAAATCATATCCTCACTTACTTTCAATTAACATCACAACAAAGGTCAAAACTATCACCAGAGTTGGATTCAGATGTTACTTAGTAGTGAGTGTTATACCGAACTTCATCTGACAGACAACTGACTAAATGAGGTGAGTCTTTGGTTTTAATCCTGAAAATCTCCAATCTAACACATTCTATACCTCAGGTACTCCAAAATTAAAAACGGGAAAGTGGTCATAGCTCGTTTCAGTACATGTATGTCTGGGCATCTGGTAGGAAAGCTGTTGGTACCACAGCACAATAATGGGGCAGTGATTCAGAGAGTGTCTCAAAAGAAAAGACGGAGAGAAAATACTGACAAAGCAAAAGTACTGGAAAGTTAGCCTGAGGCATTGAGGACTGCTGTCTCCACCGACTATATTTTAGTGTCTGACAAGAAATTAAGTACTTCTCTTGTATGTCATATGAATGACGGTACATTTTCGACCCAGAATTCAGGAAATAAGATCTTCGTTTGAAACAAGCCAGGGAAAGCAAACATTCAGGCTTGGTGGCAGCGTGTTCCATTTTACAAGAGCCTGGTTTTACCTGACTGCAGGGACCAATTTGGACCGTTTTTGTGCTGACTCCAGTTTTGCAGTCGAGTGAGTATAGAAAATAAATTCCTTGCTTAAGTTTACACATACAGTGCCAAAGTTTTCACCTTCAAATGATTGACTTTTTTTTGCTGTTTCACTGTTTTTCTGGCCTCATTATTCAAACAAATTGCTCCACAAAACCAAATGTTTCCTAGTTTAGGCTAAATATGTTTCAGTATAAGCTAAAGCTTACAAATACCTTGAAACAGAATATACTTTATTTTCATCTTTCACTAAAAATTCCTGTTTTCAAGCCATTTTTCAAAGAGGGAGGGGCTAAGCAGGTAGTGCAGATGCTTATTGTACTAATCTAATCGTCTAATTGTCCTTTTTTTTCTATATCTTATCAAGTAAACAGTATAGTCTGGAGTGGTTTGAGATAAACTGTCAGTAAATCAGCCTGATAAATAGCATAACATCCAGCAGCAGTTGGAATTATCCCCGATAGAGGTTTACCTTTGAAAAATGATGTTGCTTGCAAGAAACTACAAATTACAAACAAAAATGTAAACCTGATGTAACATACCTGTGAATTCTGCAATACCTTTCTCCGAGTCACTTTTCTAAATGAGATAATTATTTCAATTGCATTGGCCTGAACTTTTGATCTTATGATCTTCAGTGCAACTCTGCCGGAGCACCATGTGCTGCATGTGAAACGTGCCTCAGATAAAAGTGAGACGGCCTCCAGATACTTCAAAATCAGGTCACATTTTAGGTTACCATTAGCCGAGCTTATGTTGCCAATCATTGCAAGTGTTAACATGATGCGTTTTTCTGAACCCATGTAAGTGTCCTCACCTTCCTAGTACTTTGATGATTACAGAGACGGACAGAGCTCCAAGTAGGCCTCCAATGGCAAATATGGACACTGTGATGGACCAGAGAAGGGTGACTGTCTCTGCTGAAATAGGCTCCCCATATCTCTCAATCCAAGTCTTATTGTAGAAGGCTTTGATATACTGGAATAGAAAAGAAAATATATTTAATACATTTTTAGTAGATCATGTTCTTAAAAAGCTCAATGGTCAAATATGCTAAAATGTCTGCAAATATAAAACAAAAACTGTGCATCATCTTATCAAAAGTGATGTGCACTGATGTGCATTCACTTCCCCAAGCTGAATTTATGACCCTGTTGTGATTTTTAATAGTTATAGATGCTAATTTAATTGGAAAAATTTTTGATGAAGTGATGTTTGCATCCTGAACTGCAATTTTACTCTTCACTAAAGGTCATATTTTCCTTTCTGGCCCTAAATTTGCAAAGAAGATTTCAAATGAAAACAAGGATCATGGACCACCTATGAAATAAACTGCCCAATGGATTTACAGTACAATGTGCAAGTAGCAGAAATAAGTAAGATAAATAATAAATAAGATTTATCATACCTTTTCACTTAATAGCTTTAAAAATATTTATTACCCTACATGAATGAATGTACATGTTGGTAAGGAAAAAAAAAGTGAGACCATGTTTGCTCTGACTCACTGAGAATGCTTGTTTGGCACTTCATATAATATTCTTTTGCACATATTTTAAAATGTTGAAAATGGACCTGCTGTACATGGGGGAAAAAGCTCCATGCTAGTGTGTCCATTGTGTGACTTGACGTGTAGACTACCACAGTTTAAACTGTGGTTGATCAGTCCTTTGTCAAAGAAGCCCGAGTGGTCTCCGTGCAGCATTTCTCTTTTGCAATCTTTTCCTTCTAATAAAAAGTGGCACTTTCTTTCTACTGCTGGTCGTTTATAGTTGAGAACAGACAGTAAGCTCCTCTTTGATGGTGATGATGTTGGCATAGCAGGAAAAAAAAGCAGTAAGAAAGTGGCGCTGCTGGGTTTTTTTTCCATGAATATTGTAAAAAGACAGCGGAAGAAGTGCTGGACCCCAGCTGAGGTGGGCAGAGTTCTACGTTAATGATCAGCTTATGTTCCTGGCGCGCAGAAGCCATGCAGGAGAATAAACAACCAACAATCTCTCAGCATGCCCATAAACTGGAGAATTAGCTGCTTCCACAGAGGAACAGCCGCTGTGAATTGGAAATAGATAGTCCAGCTTATTCAAAGTGGGGTGTTATTGGATACTTGGTTTGTAATAAATCACCTACTACACAAGCCGGCTAAGAAAAATCCAATGGAGGAAATACCAGCAGAGAAAGCTACATGATGTGTTGTTCTGGAGAGGATCACATGCAGAAAAAAAAAAACAATGTCAGGAAAGCTCTTTAGAATTATATGCTTGAATGTATTCAGAATACTTTCAGTGCTTCGCTTTGACTTCAGAGAGCATTTTCCCACAAGGAACCGAAGCTGTTACATCCTTCCAGGCTGTCTTCAATGCCGTCATAACCCACTGACAAAAGCAGCATGAGCTGCATGTTACTCTGTGCTTTTTTCCATTCTCTCAAATGTATTTGTGCGAACGTGTGTATGTGTGAATGTTATAAACAGCCACTTTAAAGGCCAACCATTCCTTTAGCAGAGAGCGATTTCACGGCTTCAGTTCTCTGATGAGAACCAATGAATGACGATGAGGGATAAACACGGGCAGAAAAAAAGAAGAGTTTTTTTTTCTTTTTTGAAAAGATGGCTATAATGCATTTAGCAGATGATGCAGTTTTGTTAGTTTCTCCTCTTTTGAGTTCCGATGGAATTTCTTTCAGCAATCTATTGAAGTGCTACCAAAGCAAGGATCACAGAAGAGTGGTGGTTTGAATTTGTAGACGTGATACCCCAGATTGGATGTTGAAGCGTTAAAGTTTACAAATTTTTCAATCTTCCATTAGGGGTTTTTAAAATAAAGGGATTTATGGAAAATAGTTTATGAGCAATATCAACACATTACAAATAAGCATCCTAACAAAGAAGTTTTACACTATTTCTAGGACCGCTTGGATGACTGAAATGAGGGAACCATGCAGTTTTTGTGACACAACTGAACAACAAACTACTCCTGTATGAAATTAAAAACTGTAAAACATTTTATTTTGGTATAAGAAATTTATAGAAAATTTCAATTTGTGTTATTTTCTGTCCACCAACATTTCATGCCTCCGTAGACTTTTTCCTTCTTTTTAAATATGTTTTCATTGCTTCCAGTAAATATAATCATCCCTTTTGTATTTCATACACTCTTCCTTGTATACTTGTGTGGGCATCTCCAGAGCTGAGGGCTGTAATCTTTGAATACTAATTCAGTGACCTGCGAGGCATCTAATTACCTCAGAAGAAAAACAAAGCCAGACAGAAAAGATTAACCTCTGAAAATGCTGTTTCTTATGCAGAAGTGGCACCACTTAGCTGCTGTTGAAAATTTCCATTCCTGCACAGAATATGTATAGACTACAAAAATGACTAGTCAGGGTTAAGCGATGCCAAAAATTAGTCAGGCCCATCAGTCAATTAAAAGCACCTGTCTCAAATTCTGTGGACTCCTATCATGCAACCGGAACAGGTCCGACCATTTAGGATGAGCACAAGAGATCTCTCAGAATGACCTGTGATTGTTAGCTGTAGCAATACAGATGGTTAGCTTAGGTTGCACAAAGATTTAGAATCACTATACATTGACTTATTTTCTCTCTAATAATGTAATATCTAATATAATGTAAAGGAAAGTAGAAACAAAGTAACCACATAGTATAGCATATCCATCCAAGAAATATTATCTAAAAATTGCAATGATTAATATTTTAGACTTGGGAGTTCTGTCTTAGACTGACAGTGATTTATGGCATCTCCAAAGGAAAAGTGCTTTCCCTTACCCTTCACCTTTTACACTAGAGACTTAAATGACTGCACAGAAATCCGCAACCTTTAGACCTTTTCTGATGACTCCCCCGTAGCTGAATGCATTAGAGGGGCAGTGGAGGCTGACTATTGGATGTGGAAGACAACTGAGCTGCATGATGTTGACAGATCCATCTGCACCTGAACCATGCAAAGGCTAAAAAAACGGTTGTGTACTTCAGCATGACTAGGAGACCTCTGATCCTGTTACTATTCAGGGGCTCAACGTAGAGATGGTTGATGATTACAAATATCATGGTGTGCACACTGACAGTAAACTAAAGTGGAGCACTGCCATCTATGGGGGGTGGTGTCAGAGACGTTCATACAATACTGTACACACCTGCTCCATGCTGCTCACTCACCAAAGCTCGTAAACCGCTGAACCTCAACCTGCTGAATCATTTCTGTTTTTTGCAATTAAGATATGAAATTTAACCCAGAGTCTTTGTTGCTGTCATTGCTTTGATCGTTTATTTCTGTTTCTAGAATTACCGCATGGTTGTTTGATCGTAAAAGTTTTCATGTGTGTATCCACTTTCCTAAAATGATAGTTCAGTACATATTGCTATTCACAATATCCCTATTCGAGTAGCAAAAGCACCACAAAACAACAAAGCATCATGATGACAGCATGATGACATTAAATTAATAAAATAAGTAAGAACCAAGTTTCAAAACCACAACAGGTGGGTTAAAGCTTCAGGGGGAAATAACTTTTGGAATAAATGTGGAAATCAACTCCATTCTAACCCTAAAATCTCGTTACACAGGTGAGGTTATATAAAGAGCAAGAAACTCAGCAGATAGGTTATTCACAATGTGAATATAAGCCCTTCGGTGGGAAGAATCTTCAAATAGAAAAAAAAGAGCCAAGATGCAGAAGAGAGACTGTTGTTTCCTCTCTTTTGCACATTTCTGCCAACTCAAGTGTAATCTAAACAGACAAGACCTGCAGGTCAAATGATTTTGTATGTTTTCAAAATACCTAGCATACAGCACATATGTGCAGTGCATCAGAGTATATTATATATGTATTTGTTTGGTTTAACAGTAAGTTGATTGGCACATTTCTTTCAACTTTGTGAGAAAAATCGTTAACCCCAAAGAGCAGCTCCCTCTGTTATTGCTGCACATCCCACAGACAATATTCAAAATATACAAGTATATATATATAAAATATATAAAGTATGAATACCATTTAAAAGCATTGGCCAGAATAGAAATGTAAGAAAAACTTATTTTAGCATTAAAATGTCCCTTCAGTAACAGTTCAATCAGAACCTAACACCAAATCCAAACCCAAATGAACATTTATTGATTTCTGGAAGTGCTAACACAATGAGAAAATGAGACAAATCAATTGCGGATTCCCTCAACAGGGCTTACAGGTCAGTTTACGTGTCAGACTCACCACAGCAGGCGCATTGACCACAGAGAGGTTGTAGCCATAGAGGAACGATGAACCCAGGGCCCCGAAGAAGGCCGCGCCAAAAAGGCAGGCCGTGACTGGTTGCTAAAGAGAGGAAACGTTACAGATCAGATTCACAGATACGAGGCAGTCACACACACACAGCCATCATTGGTGGAACTCATATCAATGTCAAGATCAAGCAAAGCCGAGGGACTGGTTTTATGCATGTCAGGGTATTTCGGCCTGGATACAGGATTATTCACCACACCCATTTGAATATCACAGAGCAAAGCATCAAACTGGCGGAGGTGCATGCAAGCAATCCTTGAAACAGTTAAGAGACATGTGTCTCAAGGACACCAACCTATTTAACAATTCATTGCCAATAAATATTAACACATAAATGCACACATACATAAATAAATAAACTAAACATACCACCGGGCATATGCACGCACTGGGTGAGTACAAAGTCAAACTACTCTCTATGCCTGACAACGTGCATATGAAACACAAACAAACGCAGAAGGTCTCCGTGAGCTGGTTGTTGCATTCCCAGAATACATCACGTTGTGCCAGTTCTTTAGTTGTAGGATTATGTTTTCTTTGGCTCTTTAAAAAAAATGTTTCACTCAAAAGACTCGTTTTAATTGCCACTGTTGCAGTAAGTAAAGATGCTGAAAATGTTTGAGGGGAAAGTCACAAAAGTAGAGATTATGCCGCACACTGGAACTTTAAAGATGAAAATCCCTGAAGACCTGCTCATGACCTCAAGCCAAAGGCTCTGTATTTTTGCTTGGAATCAGAAAGAGAGCAAATGTTCAACGCCCATTCAGTATGAAAGTTTGTCATTTGCAGAACAAAAACTGTTTGGTATTAGATACTTGAATTATGCAATTAATCTGATATTAAACTGATGTTTTTCCTTTTTCGTTTTGCTTTCTATTTTAAGAGAAAAAGTTGATGTTACGGTCAGTACTGATGTTGCTGATCTTTAGGGGTGTAATTCAGAAAGCGGAATGAAATAAGAACAGGGATGACTTTGAGATCCTGCCATTTAAAATAGATTAAAATAATGTTAACAATTCAGAATCATCCAAATAGTTCTGGAGATGACAGGGGACTATTTTCTTCTGGTTGTTAAATCCATAGGGATGTGAATGCTGCTCATTCAGTACACTCCAATAAGAGCAAAAGCAGCTATATTTTACATGTGAATGTGTTCCAATTGAGCAATGTGTGCCCAGTTAAAGATAAGGAGAGCCATACTGAGTTCTAATTCTCCTAACTGAGCAAACGAAACCGAGATGCTGCAAGAATCCCTTACATTTACCATAAAACGTTTCAATTTCATAGAGCACTTGATAAACAATTAAAAAAGGTTGAAAGTGATTGAAAGGGGGAGCAGATTTAAAAATCTCCATGAATGGCACTGCATATGTGGGGATGTTGTGTTTTCAAAGTCTGGACTGAACAAGCTGATGATGTCACAGTTAGTATAAGAGACGCAGCTGAGTACAGTGTGAATTCAGAAAACAGTTTCCAACACGTCAAGGACTCCACCATGTGAATGCTCCAGGTCCCCGGTAGTAAGCAGCTATTCTGTAGATTACGAGTTTCTAAACCAGCACAGAAAACCACCTCGACGAAGTGAAAAAAACAGATAAGAGTTGCTGCAACCTGCTGCTGCTGTGATGGTGCTTTGTAGAGAAAGGGCTTGTTATGCCTACTGAAATACCGCTGCTAAAGAGTGGAGTCTCACAATATCCAAAGGAATGCATTAAGCCATGCAGACTCGGAGGTAACTCAATACATCCTGACATGTGATATTCTATTTGACCGGTTATTCAATTAGCACCAGTTTTAAGGAGCTACATCTCAGAGAATACCAAAAGCCACTTGAAAAGGTGTGCCCAAATGAACCTTTTAAGGTAGGAATCCGCCATGATGTGATGGGCGTGGAGGACACCAGTGACGCACAAGTTGCTTTGACTCTTTATCATGCCAGAAAATCCTTTTTTTCTTCCAAGCGATCTCATCAGCCAGTGAGCTGATATATCAACAGCCACTCCCACTGCAAATGTTATCTGCTCATCCCGCTCTGTGCGTCTGATTTCAGGTCAATACATTCACCGTGATAATCCTGTTCAGGTTCATATCAAACACATCTGAGCCAAAAAAGAAAAAAAAAATGGGACAACTGACACTCGTTAGACTTCTCCTCAAATTCTTTACCAATGTTGCGTTTTAAACGCTGGAACCAAAACAAAGGACTATATGGTTTTCTCCCTCATATCTGCTGAATAGGCACTCTTCATAAACCCGTTCATGTGAATAAGATTAGCGGTAGTTTGTGTTCAGCTAAGCGGCGTGTGTGTTTCCACATGAATCTTTTGCCCTACCATGTGACCTTAGGGGTCATGGGGGAGGGCTGGAATCGCTGAGCAGGCATTTTTTTCCTCAACAGCATTGAAGCAAAAGGGTCATTGTTGCTTTTAAACATACATTAAGGACCTAACTGAGTAATTGAAAAACAGATTCAGATTTTGAATTTTGAGTCAGAATACAATTGCAGTCAGATATTAAGACTGCTGCAGCATCTGAACAATTAATGTGACCAAAATTATTCATTTTAATCACCTCAATATCAATATGAAGCTTGGAACTCAAATCCCAATATTGTATTATAACATATAACATTAGCAGTCCATCAATGAGCCATTTACCTAAAAATTATAACCAAACACAATTTAAATAAATCAAAACATTTTTCTTTATTTAACCAACCTTATAACATCAGCGCAGTTTCTCCATCACACTCCAGACAAAGTGTGTCTGAATGTGTGAAGGCGTGAGTGTGGGCGTTCTGCTATCACGATACTGTGCACCCCAATCGTGTTTCAACAGACCAAAATGGATCTTGGTGAAAATATTTTAAAAAATCAGACTTTTCCGAAGTTGGCATGGCTAAAAAGCCACACTGAGGATTGTAGTTGGCGCGGTTCATAATTGACAAGATGGAGGATGGTGATCATAGTGGAACAGGAAAGACGGTTAGATCAAAGCTGTAATGTTAATGTCTGTAAGTACTGATGAGGGTCTAATATGAAGAAAGACTTTTATGAATAGCTATAAATAAACATTTACAGATGCTCATAAACAGAATAAGAAACATGTTTCTTAGATGTGGGACTGTGTGTGCACAGTATAATTAATTCTTACCACTTATGTAAGAAAAAGTTACTCTTCCTTTTACTTTTGTGCAACATACAGTACGTTTGGCTCAGTCACTTGCTTACATTTTGGACGTTTGCGATTACATCGCTGCTATATCAGTTCAAGTTTTTAGTACTTTAAATACATACATTTTTCATGTGGTTTTAGTTTTAATACTGATGACTGTTCATGTGTCAGCCGCAGGACAAATCTGTTGAAAACAGAGACGGGATTTCTAACAACTGGCCAAATAGCAAAGGTCATATCATACTGAGTGAAGAACAGTACACAAGTTTATTAAGTATGCCCCATAGCACGCATGCACAGGTAACTGTAGAGGGTTAATGTATGACATAACAGACAAATAAGAAGTGCAAAGACCTATATACCGTCATCAGAAGAGTGCGAGTTGTCCCGTCCTTAAACAAGCGGAATTTGAATCCTCTCAAAAAACATAATTTTATATCAGTTTCAACTTCAACAGAATTTCAACAGAAATTCGAGGCATTAATTACACAAACCTTTTCTGAGCTCTTTTTCGACTTGCTCATTTCGGGCTCATCCTGCTTGTCCTTTGGCTTGTCCATGTTCGGGTTTTAGTATCCCTAAACAACAAGATCACAATAAGTATGAGATTAAGACAAATAGTTTACTTAGATCAAATCTAGTAGAGACGTACTAAAATGCAACATCATGCAGGACTATATATCAGAACTTACTCTCAGATTCAGGAAAAATGCAAACAAAGTGCCACTCCAGGCAACAAAGGTGCCTTTATTTTCAAACGTGAAAAAACCATCATGAAGTAAAACTTTACCCAAACAAATGTGTGAAACTTTGCATTTTCGCCCAGCTTTCTTATCACAGTTTAGAAGAAAGGCCGGGTTCTGTGCTGGATTCCACAAAGATGGAGGAGCAAAGACTGAGATTGCCACCTAATGGTTGTAAAGGCGGCAACACTCTATGTAGTGCACAGACATCAGCTTTAATATTAAAAAAGTGTGGAAATATTCTAGAGAAGCTGAACCCAGCTGTTGTTGGGCATTGGTATGGGAAAATGTAGACTCTGAGCAATCTTTAAGTGAGTTGTGCTATGAATACAAATATCACATGCTCTGTACCGGACTCACTGATGAAAGCAGAATTTAGTAATCATATCAGAAGCTATAGGAGAATTTGGCGTGATGCAAATGAAATGTCAACCCCCTGCTGTGGAATGAAATGGAGATGCATCGCATGATCACCTTCCCAGTTTAAATTGAGAACTTATCTCTAATCAGCTACCAGCTGAACAAATCTTCGAGCTCACGTGAAAAGTCCCAGTGCATGAGCAGAATTGTTATAGGATGTAAAATACTGTGTTTAACATTATGTTTTAATAAGGAAAGAGATTTAATAACTGGAATCTGTTGCCGACTGTAATACCTCAGTGCCGTGAAAGACAGGTTCTCTCTGCACAAAAGTAAAGGATCGATATTTGACTGTTTGTTTAACATGAAGCAAAAACCAGCGGTTTCAAAAAGTCACAAGTATAGATTTCCCTGTAATCAGACAATGACCACTGTGTTGCATCAAAGGGCGGCTTGTCTTACATCAACCTGCGTACAAAACGGTGTTCTCTTTCAACCTGTTTGTGTAATTCAGTCCATGCGTGAATAAAAGACTTTATTCACCAGCAGTCCAAGACTTTTTTAAATGAATATAGGAAGTTACTATTGCCACTTCCTTAAGATGTACTTCCATTAAGACTCTTTAAAGTTTAAAGATATATATATAATTCAATTATACGATGGGAAATTTTACATAACAGCTACAAATGAGTTAACAAGTTCACTTTTACTCAAATAAAATATAGCAACATATTATTTGCATCTCCCTCTATCATTTGTCAATGAACATTTTAAAAGCAAACAACAGGTCCCTGAGATAAAAATGATACTGAGATTCAATTATATTTGAGCCCTCAACACAGAAAAACATTTAAAATGATATTGCCTTGCTTTTCTTTGCATTACAGAACACAAACTAGCAACAAAAGTATGAACAAGCTTTTCCGTGTGCAGGAGAAGTCTACCTCCATTTCACTTAACAGGTAAAACAGTTTTACAGGTTAGAAAAATGTATACAAGCCAACCGGCCGACAGACTTTTGCAGGGTTGTCTAAACCTAATGTGTCTAATGTGAAAACCAACAAAAAAACAATCCGGCAGCATTCTTACCTGTTTGAACAGGCTGTGAATCAGGAGCATGAAAGGAAGATTACAGCCCAAACATCACCCAAACTACAGTCATAACACTGACAAATGATTAACTTCGGAGAGGAACACCCTTCCTCTCTTTTGCTTTCATATGTCGTCACTACAGTCAAATCAGTTGCATTCCAAATTAGACAAAAATTAACTACAATTTCCCTGTTAAGAAAAAAAGACACAGCCAAAGCTGTGCCAAAAATCACTTATATAAACTATTAAATATACGTGCATGTATCAGTACTCTGTTAAGAGAAGGATAGAATTGATATAAAAAAGATAAGATACTGCTAAATTTCTCAGATCAACAACAGCTTGAACCTAGACCATGCAATACTGACCATGCATCCTACATGATTTTTGCATTTTAAAAAATGTATTTGAAATAAATAACTACAATTGTGTTTTATAACTACGGATGTGCAGTGTTGCTTTTTTCCAACTTATGACATGCTGACCAATTTTAAATCATTTTCAAACGTCAGTGAAACAGTGATTTCTCTTGTTTTTTGCAATGGCCCACATTTACAGAGCAAATGAAAACTTAAGTTTCCACCACAAATATGCCACACTGCTCAATATGTTTAAGCCAACAGGCAGACTCTCTGCTCATCAGTGTAGATCAATGACCAATGCTGATTATTCCCTTTGTTGATACAAACAACATGGAGTTAACGGAGTGCATTCCTGACAGCAATGTGAGTGATGTCAATTTTCAACTTTTGCTTTGCTGGACACTACGACAGTAGTTGCCTCTTTCTGAGGCCTGGACCTTGCAAAAGAAAGACAAGCGCTCATTCTTGTAAAATTCAAACACTACAGTAAAGAAAATCAAAGCACAATCATTAAAAATTTGTCAGAGAAAAACTTGCAAGGGGAAAAACAAGCAATCCTTCTTGTACAATTTAAACACTACAGTTATACAAAAAAAATAATATTTTTTAAAGTGTTAACAACCATTAACAATACGTCTAAGAAGAGCTATTATGGTCCTTACCTGGCTAAATTTATACAAAGAACATTTGGTCAACAAGGCGTTGAAACTATGACCTGTGGAATTGGTGGCTGAGCACACCTCATACTGGCAAAAAGTCTCCATTTCTGCTTCAGACGAATGATGAGGGCTGCCGTCCAGCTCACTCACGCCTCTTATTCTGCTACATTCTTCGGCCTCGTAAGCGTGAGAAAGTACCACCTCTGCAGCAGTTAACAAGCCAAGTTCAGAGAAGAGGCCCCCCACCAGCGATTTGGTTCACCAAGGAAAGAAGAGATGGCGCAAAGCAGCAGCAATCAAGGAAACACCCCGTTATCCCACAGCAACATTTTGGAGGTTAAGTTCCCATCAAACGCAGTGACAACGCCATTCCAAGTCAAATACGCTCTGCCAGTGGAGCTCAGACAGTCACACTGTCGCTTTTTACATAATAGGAGCACAAGAAGTTGTTCTTTAAACGCCCACCCGACAGAAAGCTCTCTCCTCAGGCAGCTTTCTCTTTGATCAATGGCTGCTTTCTTCTCCTTCATGCGGACTGCCGTTCCAAAACCACAGGCTGGCAGCAGTCTGTGTTACGAACATGTGAGGGAAAACTTCTGCAAAGGGAAAACATTGCCTGAGAGACCGCCATCAGTATCACAATGTAGTCTGAGGTTTGAACGCTGTGGTCCGTGGCCAGAGCTGTACGGGGGGAACTTTAAGTGTAGGCTGCTCTCCCTGTCAGGGGCTGCCACGGGAAGAAAATAAAAAGCAACTACATTTAATGAGATCCCCTTCTGGTACATGCCTCCACAGCCCTGGAGTCCAGGTAACAGAAGTGTTGTTTTACCAAGGGAGAGGACAGATGTTCCAGAAGTAAATGAGTCCAAAGGAGGGCTCTGACTCAGTGTTTTTATTTTATTTATTTATTCATTTTGTGTTTGTTTGTTTTTTATGCTCAGTGTCAGTCTACTAAATAAGTTTTAATCTATGGATTTATTGCTTATGTGTTGTTTTACACCCATCATATTCCACACTTCTGTCCACTCTGCATCTCATTGGGTTTTTATTGGTCATGTGTCCTCGCTTGCCCTGTGATAAATAGGACCATCATTAAAGCCTCTCTAGAGCTTATTGTGCCAACATTACAAAGTTCTTTACGTAGCCTATGTCCCAGATTTCTTTTATCTCAGACACCACTTTTTTCCCCCTGTATAGATGCAAAATCAAATGTCAGCAGCTTCGTTAAACATTGACTTCCCGTTTCCAACCCTCCCCTCACACGCGCGCACACACGAGCTTTCAAAAACAATAAGAATGTGCACTTGTGCTTTAAATAAAAAGTAACGACATAAAGAAAAAGGAGATAGAAAAGCTCACCTTCCACCCTGTGTCCGAAAATCGGGATTCCCCGCAGATTCTTTGGAGAAAAGGCCACTGTGCGGGCATTAGGAGGACATCCTTATCACATGAGAATTTGCTGGCAAACTTAATTTACTGACGTTGGACTTTTCCCCAAAAATGGAGGGAGACAGCGGGAAGTGGCTGAGAGGCAGGCGGCTCTCTGGAGAGCTCTGTCAATCATCTGCCTCGTTTGGCTTCAGAACCTGACACTTTAAACCCATCCGGCTTCACTAACCGCCCTCTCTCTTTTTGCTCTTGTGCAAATCATCCCTCATGCGCTGCTGTCATTTCAAACACGATTTTTTCGAGGAAGATTCCCTTTACTCTCTGAAATCTTACAAAACCGAGGCATTATTCTTTATCCCAAGCGCAGCCCCAAAGTCCGGGCGTGCGCTCTTGCGCACGGACGCGGGTTTGTGTGGGTCCGTGCCCCCACTGCCCTCCAGCCCTGACCTGTGTGGTAGGCCATAGGCTGAAGCTCAAAATGTGGCTAGAAATAGGATTTCGC